TCCAAAAACACGAAGGAAAAGAAATTGACCGTTGTGCGACTTACAAAAATTGAAAGTTATTCATTCAACTGGATGAGCGCGTGATGACGGCTGCAAGTTTCAAGCAACGATTCTATCTGCACGCAATTTTGTTCCGGAAAAGCTGAAAGTTTAATGCTACTTTTAATATGTAGAAAAATAATTGCAAAACGTTTTTTAAAAAACGGAAATTTAATAAGATCGGTACGAAAACAATAATAGTATTAGCTCTCGATATCTAAATAGAAGTTTAGCCTTTAGCGCGCGCTTTCTTTCAGGGTGTTATCTAATTAGGCCAGTCATATTATTTATCCAAGTAATCATCATCGACAATGACAACACAGTAACATCGCTTTTATATAATCACACCAGCAACAACAACAACAACGAAATAGAAAAAAAAGTACTTTAAAATCAAACAATACCTTCAAATTTCCATCTTCTTCTACCACTTGCCAATTAAAGCCATCCTCGGAGTACTCCAAGAAGTATTCTTCAACATGTTCATTTCCTCTTTCGTAACCTGTCCCTTGAATGGCAACAGCACAAATCACTTCCGCTTCCGGTACATGGATTTGTAGGAATTCTTGCCCGGCAGCATCTCCCAGGGAACACCAGGACAGCGGACCATTCAACCGGCCAGCAGAGGGTACAAATTCGCCGTAACTTGTAGGGGCTGTGAAACTAGAGCTCGGCAGTTTTCCTCCTTCTGCAGCCCCGAGGGGATTGTCCTCGCATGGGATTTCTTAAATGGGAGCAATGTTGACAATAGTGTGTTAATGGACGATTCAATCGATTGAAGTATTTCAGGTTAATTGATTCTTCACAGAATTATATACGCGCAGATAGGTAGAGTTCAATTCTTTAACCCTTATCAACCCTTATTCACGGGTGCAGTACAGCGAACACAACTGACGCAGTTTATTGTGACAATAATCAATTTTCATTGTCTTTTGTCACCCATGTCATCAAGTATTAGGTGTGCCCTCAACTCCTGAGTGTGGTAACGTGTTAAAGAGAGTCTTACCTGGTGGAGCAGCTGTTGTTTCTTCACTTGGTGCTGCAGTGTTTTCCTGCGTAGCTAAATGAAACAACAAAAACTAGAATTACTGTAACCTAACTGAAGATTTCATAGCAAACAAGAAATAAAGTAAAAGAGAAAGCAAGAAATTTAATGACAGATAGTTTGAATTTAATAATTTTTTCTTCTCCTTCTCCGTGTTGTTTGTAGTCTTACCTGGTGGAACAGCTGTTATTTCTTCACCTGGTGCTGCAGTGCTTTCCTCTGTGGCTACATGACAAGAAAAAGACTGGAATAAACGTAACTGAGCATCTATAGCAGACATGAACGAAAGCTAATAAGAAATTTAATTACAGAAAACTCACGGTTTGCAATTAGTAACTTTTTCTTCTCCATGTTGTTTGTAGTCTTACCTGATGAAACAGCTGTTGTTTCTTCACCTGATGCTGCAGTTGTTTCCTCTGTGGCTGCATGAAACAAAAAAGACAAGTATAAACCTAACTGAACATTCCATAAAAAGATCAAGATAACTAATGAGAAGCTGAAATTTCAATAACAGAAAAATATGATCTTAAATATACAATATTTTTCTTCTCCTTCTTCATGTTATTAAGACTCTTACCTGGTGGGACAGCTGTTGTTTCTTTAATTTGTGCTGCACCAGTGGTTTCCTCAGTAGCTACATGATTGAAAAGAGCGTAATTTACGTTAATTTGTCTTCCATACAGATATTGGGAAACTACGATATTAAAAAAAGGCCGAAAGTTTGTGGTTATGCTGTAAAAATTGATAGAAATATCGATAAAAGGACAGTCTTAAGTAATAAAGATGAAATGAATCACTTTACTGTTATTAAATTATTAATTTGTGTGTATATTTTTCCTGCGTTAATTTTTGTTACGCTGTCTTAAAAGCAATTCGGCAGCTGTTACAATAACTTAACAGTGTTGTCTGTTCTATACCTGGTGGAACAGCCGTTGTCTCTCCAGCACCTGCCACAGTGCTTTCTTGTGTACCTTCATGAAATGAAAAAGAAAATTAGCATAATCTTTGTTAAAAAACATCCTATAACGAACAAAGGAAACTAATAAGGAAGCTACAAATTTAATACCAGACAGTTTAAATTTAATAATTTCTCTTCTTCTTCTTCCCAATGACTTCCGTGCTATCTGTAGTCTTACCTGGTGGAACAGCTGTTGTTTCTTCACTTGGTGCTGCAGTGCTTTCCTCTGTAGCTATGTGGAACAAAAAAGATTTAAAGAATAAACCTAACTGAACATTCCACAACGGACATGAAAAATGTACTTCATTTAGGTGTTTAATTAGGTTGCTTTGTATTAGTTCCCATTAGGATAATCAGGCTTTTATATACCACTCCTTGTCAATATCACACCACTTGACGCCGACCAGTTTTTCTCGAGGCTGTTTTTTTTTCCTTATTGTTTATATCGTGACATTTTCTTATATTCTCTGGCTTGTAARCTGTATTCAGCGTGTCTCAGATTCTTGTAAATAAACTCGATCATTGCTGGCGMCTCCCTCCACTATATTTGTTGTATTACTTGTCTCCTCTACTTATAATAGMAKTGTTTTCTATTCGGCTGAGCGAAGCGAAATGGAATAGAAAAAGACTGAATAAGAAAGCTTGAAACTCAATAGCAGAAAGCAGATTGTTTGAAATTATTAATCTTTTCTTCTCCTTCTCCATACTATTTGGAGTCTTACCTGAAGGAACAGCTGTTGTTTTTTCACCTGGTGCTGCAGTGCTTTCCTCTGTGACTGCATGAAACAAATAAGACTAGCATAAACCTAACTGAACATCCATAACGGAAAAGAAGAAAACTAAAAACAAAGCAAGAAATTAAATGACAGATAGTCTCAATTAAATAATCTTTTCTTCTCCTGCTCCATGTTGTTTGTAGTCTTACCTGGTAGAACAGCTGTTGTTTCTTCACTTGACGCTGCAGTGCTTTCCTCTGTCGCTGCATAAAACAAGCAGGAAAACAAATAACAGTTTTATTGAACATTTCGTTTGGGAGCAAACACTGGTCTTAGATGGTCACAAATTTAGTCCAATTAAGCGTTTGTTTGCATAATTTCTCATCCAAACAGATAAGTGGAAAATATGACATCAAACAAAGGCGCACTTTTTTGCGGTTATACTTAAAAATGGATAGAAATATCGTTGATAGAAGGTCTTAAAATTCAAATGGATGTCATCAAAGTTAAACCATATTACGTCATAATATATCAGATCAGTATCTGTGATAATTGGAATTTGTGCGTACTGGTGTATATATCCTGACATAATAATGTCTGCAAATAGCATCTGAGAATATTGAAATTTGTTTTACATCATACCGTGCATATTTTATTTTCAAGTGTCTTATGAAGCTTCTTTAGGAACAATTCAGCTCTTATAATAATTTAAGAATGTTGTCTTTTCTCTCGCCCCGCGATGTTTGCAGTCTTACCTGGTGGAACGGCTGTTGTTTCTTCACCTGGTGCTGCAGTGCTTTCCTCTGTAGCTACATGAAACGAAAAACACAAGCATTAACCTGACTGAACGTTCATAAGACTGAAACATGAAGAAAGCAGGAAATTTAACATGTTACAGATATTTTAAATTTAATAATCTTTTCTGCTCTTTCTCCATGTTGTTTGTAGTCTTGCCTGGTGGAACAGCTGTTGTTTCTTCACCTGGTGCTGTAGTGCTTTCCTCTGTAGACAGAAATGAAAAATTCTAGCGTAAACCTTGTTGAACTTTCCATAACACACAAGAAGAAAACTAATAAGAAATTAAAGCTAGAACTCAAGAACAGCAAACAGATAGTTTTTTTTTTACATAATCTTTTCTGCTCTTTCTCCAGGTCGTTTGTAGTCTTACCTGGTGGAACAGCTGTTGTTTCTTCACCTGGTGCTGCAGTGCTTTCCTCTGTGGTGTATGAAACGAAAAAGACTAACATAAACCTAAAGGACATTAAACAAACTAACAGGAAAGCTACAAATTGAACAATAGAAAACTGACAGTATCAATTTAGTTATCTTTTCTTCTACTTCTTCATGTTATTTGCAATCTTACCTGGTGGAACAGCTGTTGTCTCTTCACCTTGTGCAGCGGTACTTTCCTCTGTCGCTGCATGAAACAACCGGGAAGACATATAACAATTTTATTGAACCTTTATAACATAGCGTGCGCGCTGGTCCTAACAAACTCCAGTTGAGCCAACATGGTAAATTTCTCTTTTCACAATGAGTGCCGAAATTCTCCCCGATCATTGGCTAATTTTCATTGTCAATAAGCGGACAGACAAATGAATTTATAACTTATATGAATTTATAAGTTTTTAATTTATAAAAAGTGGACAGAATTATCGACAATAGAAGATCTAAAATTCAAATGGATGTCGTCAGAGTTAAACCACATTACGTCATAATATCAGCAGAGTATCTGTGATTATTGGAATTTGTTCGTAAACGTGTATACATCCTGCTTCATGTCATTAGGAATCTTACCTGGTGGAACAACTGTTGTTTCTTTAATTTGTGCCGCACCAGTGGTTTCCTCAGTACCTATATGATAGAAACGCACGTAATTTGCATAAGTGGTCTTTCAAAAGATTTTCGGAAACTATGGCATCAAACAAAGACTGAACGTTTTGTGGCTATACATTAAATATTGATGAAATATCGATGAAAGACGGTCTTGAGTTTTAAAGATCAAATAGATCACGTCATAGTTAAGCCACTTTACGTCATAAAGTCGCCATATAGCATCTGTGATTACTGAAATTTGTGTGTATATTATTCCTGTGCTAATTTTTTGCAGCTGTCTTAAAAGCCATTTGGTGGCTGATATAATAACTGAAGAGATTTGTCTCTTCTCCTGCTTCATGTTGTTTGGAATCTTACCTGGTGGAACGGCTGTTGTTTTTTCACCTGGTGCTGCTGTGGTTTCTCCCGTAGCTATGAAAATATCAATAAAAAGTGGTCTTAAGTTACAACGATCAAAAAGATCACGTCATAGTTAAGCCACATGACGTCATATTATCATCGTATAGCATCTGTGATTATCGGAATTTTAGTGTACATCATAGTGTCATAGTGTAAATTGTATTTTCAAATGTCTTATAAAGTTTGTTTGGGAACAATTTAGCTGTTATAATAGTTGAAGAGCGTTGTGTTTTCTCTTGCTCCTGGTGGAACAGCTGTTCAGTGTTTCTTCACCTGGTGCTGCAGTTGTTTCCTCTGTGGCTGCATAAAACGAAAAACGACTGGCGTCAAATAACCTAATTGAACATTCCATAACCGAGATGAAGTACACTGAAAAAACCCAAGAAATCTCAATAAAAAAAATATATTTTCATCTCCCTCTCCATGTTGTTTGTAGTCTTACCTGGTGGAACAGCTGTTGTTTCTTCACCTGATGCTGCGGTGCTTCCCTCCGAGGCTGCATGGAACAAAGTAAAATTAATGTAAGTCTTGTTGATCATTTCAGAACAGACAAGACGAAAACTAATACAAAAGCTAGAAATTCAACAACTGATAGTTTCACTTTAATAATCTTTTTTTTTTCTCCTGCTCCATGTTATTTGGTGTCTTACCTGATGGAGCAGCTGTTGTTTTTTCACCTGGTGCAGCAGTGCTTTCCTCCGTGGCTGCATGGAATAAAGTACAACTAATGTAAATCTTGTTGACCATTTCAGAAATTAATGCAAAAGCTAGAAATTCAACAACTGATAGTTTGAATTTAATAATTTTTTTCTTCTCCTGCTCCATGTTGTTTGTAGTCTTACCTGGAGGAACAGCTGTTGTTTCTTCACTTGGTGCTGCCGTGGTTTCCTCCGTGGCTGCATGGAATGAAAAAAAATTAATGTAAATCTTGTTGACCATTTCAGAACGGACATGAAGAAAACTAAAGCTAGAAATTCTACAACTGATAGTTTAAGTTTAATAATCTCTTTTTCTCCTACTTCATGTCGTTTGTAGGTCTTACCTGGTGGAACAGCTGTTGTTTCTTCACCTGGTGCTGCAGTGCTTTCTTGGGTAGCTACATGAAACGAAAGAATTCTAGCATAAACCTAGTTTAACATTCCACAACAGACATGAAAGAAAACTAAACAGAAAGCAAGAAATTCAATAATAGATAGTTGGAATTCAATAATCCTGTCTGCTGTTTCTCCATGTTATTTACTTATTTATTTACCTACCTGGTGGAACAGCTGTTGTTTCTTCACCTGGTGCTGCAGTGCTTCCCTCTGTAGCTACATAAAACGAAAAAGACAACCATTAACGTAATCGAACATACCATAACTGACATGAGGAAAACTAAAAAGAAGACAGGAAATTTACCATTTGGCACAGTTTCAATTTAATAATTTTTTTCCTTCTCCATGTTATCTGTAGTCTTACCTGGTGGAACAGCTGTTGTTTCTTCTCCTGGTGCTGCAGTGCTTTCCTGTGTGGCTGCACGAAACAAAAAAGATTAGCATAAACCTAACTGAACATTCATATAACAGACAAAAAAAGCTTAAAACAGATAGTTTAAATTTAGTAATCGGCTTTTCTTCTCCTGCTCTATTGTACAGTCAGACCTCTCCACAACGGCCACCTTAGGGACAGACGAAAGTCGCCGTCGTAGAGAGATGGCTGTTGCATGGGTTTGAATCCCGTTAAAGCCTGAAGAGTTGTTTTATTTTCGCAATTGCCCAAGCGCGATCACAACTGCAATTTTAGTTACGCCAAATTAATAATAATGATATTAGGATAAGACCCACCCGCTGTAGTTGTCTCCTCTACCAATCCAATACTAATGGTACCGGTAGAAGCTGAAAAGGTGAGATTGCTCATGGTAAATAACATCATAAAAACTACAGAAATGAAAGTAACTTTTGGAAGAAAAATAGAGTAAGAATACTCTAAACGTCTTTTTACCTTTGTCTATATAGAGACAAATTGGGAATTTAGAGGATATAATAGTATTTTATGCCCTATTATAGTGTATATGGAAAAACTTAGAAACTTAGCCACAAGATTAATTTTACTGAGTTGTAAAATTAATGACTGCACACTTTCGTGGTAAAAGATCTCCACGCCTGGGTTAGTAATACTAACGTGTTCATGTTAGAGTCGAGTATACAACGACTTTCCTGTACTCCGATTGGCTGTATTTTCTATGGCATGGTACAAAAATGCGTATTCTTTGCCAGAGACGGACTTCACTTGTATTCTTCACCATCTACGGGTATATTACGCATGCACTCACAACGTGACCAGCTCACAGTTGGCTTGATAGCTCAGTTGATAGTGCACCGGTATCACAGAGGTCATAGGTTCGAATCACGCTCAGGTCTGAATGTTTTTTTGGTTGTTTCAGGCTTTAATTTTACAACTGCTTCAGTTATATAACCGCGATGATCAATCATGTATTCAAAATACGGACTGTCACCAATGTACTTTTGAGTCTAACGGAACATTCTTTTTTTTTCACCGAATGCTGAATTCTTCACTCAAAATCAAGAAAAGTAAAAATATAAGTTGCAATCAAGACTCACAGCTCGCAGAATGGCTGTAAAGTCTCTTTCAAAACAGTCACCAGAGACTAAACCTCCACAATTTTACCAAGTCAGTCTCAGTCAGTGGTTACTATAGTGATTGTAATCAATGTTGTGATTGGTGGATTTAGTGGAGAGGACTTAAAATGATTGGCTCATGTAACTGTCCGATTACAGGTGTCCGATTACAGCCAACTGTCCGATTACACTGTCCGATTACAACTTTGCAGATTAATTATAGCAAAATACAGCAGTTTCTGCACCAATCACATTTGAGGAAATTGTAATTGTTATGATTAAGTGACAAATAGGCGCGCGGAGCACCAATCACGACCGAGAATTTTTTTTTATAGATACGATTAAAGTTGAAATTGTTTGAACAATCGTTCACTATAGGGAACGAGTGCAGTAAAAAAAAAAACTTGTGCTAGAGACTTACCAGCTTCTGTAGTTACTTTTGATCCTAAAACATAAAAAGACACAAAATAGCATAACGATGATGTAAGAAAATGAAATCAAGTAAAGGAGAACAGTTACAAAAAATACCTACCAACTGTGGTCGGCTCCTCTGACAATTCAATTTGAATGCCACCGGTGGTAGAGGCTGAAAATGAACATATTACAAAGGTATATTAAATGGCTTAGAACATCTATGAAACATGATCTACAATTAAACGCATAACTGTTGATCGGACACCTCTGGAGGTGTTTGTGGTTATCACAATTTTAGATAAACTTTTGTGAAAATGAAACGGAGCTGTGTTCACGATTCTATAAACACCAATACCAGGTGAGCTTTCGCGCGAAAACATCATATCTTCACAAGTGAAAAGAGCACCGTTGTTATGGTTTCTAGGAAAACTCGCCTTTCCAAACGAATTGAAAGTGAAATGGTTTGGCATTTCATTAGTGTTTACATAATAAATAGAACATTACATGACTGCTTGGTCATACGAAATATCTCTTCTCGTGTTGAAATATTTCACTTGTTCGCTGCGGTCACTCGTGAAATCTTCGTCAGTCCTCGAAGATAAATTTCGTAGCTCCACGCGGCCATGTAATATCGTCTATATACAATATATGGACGCTATTACCCTTTCCTTGTTCAGTTACCACCTTAAAAAAGGATTAAGGTCACACCAGAATGGAGATCGAGAGGAGTTGGCGATAATAACTTCTCTCTTTTTGCAAAAGGTTCAAAACACTGTAGCATAGAACCGCGCTAGTATCACAGATAGTTTTTGCCTGTAATTGTAGTCTCACGTAGCTTTTACTTCAACATGTACAACGTAACGGTTTGGATACCTTCTTTCGAAGATGGGTGATACTGCTACCTGCAGTGCTATAAATATAATACCGATATTCGTCATGCATAAAACGCATGTATTCGAGAGGTATTTAAGTATCTTACTCTTACCTTTTGAGGGTGCTTCCGTTCCTGCTTCTGCAGCAGACAAAAAAAATAGATTTGCCGTTAGCCTGCGTAGCTGGCGGTTTGTTGGTTGGGGGTACAGGACCGTAAAGAGTGTGATCCGGCATCGCCGCTTTCTCGCGCGTCTCACCCGAACTAAACCGCCAGCTACGCAAGCTAATTTTTCGTTTACAACAATTACTTCTCACTTATTCTATGACAACCGCAGTGGTTTTCAATGGAGTGCTTTTAAGTGCCAAACCAAAAAACCATTTCATTTGCGAGATGTCATTAACATCTAATTTTTCCTTACAATATCACGCTTCAGGTTAAAAGATGCCAATCGGTAAGTCAATCAGTTAACAATAGTCAGTCAATCAGTCAATCATTCACTTGGGAAATAAATTAATTTACTAATGCGAAAAATTAACTAAAATAAAACCCATTTCAGGACCTCTCTTTCAGTTCTGTAGCATACCTGGAGGACATTCACACTTGCACGGCTTCACAAAACATGCCATGAAGTCTAAGTACTCCCCAGGGACAGGGCAATCGTCCACTATACACCGTCTTGTTCGTTTCATTACGCCCTGCCCTTCATCTACACTGCAGTCCGACCAGTCACTCCAAGGACCGTAAGGCTGTCCGTCCACTGCAAGGTGTCCTTTATAAGCAGGAGAAAATCATTAAGAGCTGTTTGTTAGAAAATATCAACGGGTTTCTGTTTTTTATCAGTATGAATTTGATGAAGGTAAATTAATTGCCATATCGAATTTGGGCAGTCGACGCTCGCGAAGAGTTAGCTCCGAATTGGCTTGTACAGGGTATGGAGGCCCAGGGTAGAGGTACTCCGCGAAAAATTGGGTAGGGGTGTGCGGCCCGCTTCCCAAAAACCTTATCCCATTTATGACCAAAATCTGCGTTTTTCAATACCCTATTTTTGACCTCACTCTAGATCAATACCCTGTTTTAGATCTCCCTTAAACTTAGTTTCTTAGTTCAGACCGATGTTAAAGACATTGTGAAGGACTTTTGTTGATCGGTCTTAATATCGATACTGATGAAAAAGTAGATTCTTCTAAAACAAAATGCCCAATTAATTCAAGATTACAGTGCAAAAATCAGACCCTATTAATGATCAAAATGGCTAAAACCGATACCCTATTTATGACCAAAAAGGCTGAAAAACCATACCCTTTGGGGCTGCACATACCTATATAGGCCGTATAAGGGAGTACCCCCTTCCCCACCCTCGGGTATTGAGCCCTTTTAGGGGTTTTCGGGATATGTGATATTAAGGTAAAAAAAAATTACCGGGATGCTTGATATTTGGGGAAAAAATTAATGGGATATAGGATATTAAAATCAGATTAAACGAAATATAGAGAGGGGAAAACGTTAATTTTTTTCAATTGGCAGCCCGAGTCAACCTATCACGCACGGATATCGAGAGCGAATAATCTAATTGTTTTAATATAAATTTACTAGTCGTTGGAAACTTTATCTACGTCCTCTTCACAGACACTTCGAAAACGCAAAGAAATGGCCATCATTTTGTTAACAAGCGCACACTGCTCGGCTACTCACTATCTACAACAGAATAGATAGTGAGTAGCGTAGCCAATCAGAGAACGGCATACATGATAGAACGGGAGTAGATTTATACTAATAATTTTTATTAATGAGCTCAGTTTTCAGAATGTGAGAACAACTACTTTTAACAGTTAAATGCTCTATGCAAACGCTCTTACCTGATATTGCCAGTATAACGATGTAAATCAACAACATGACTTACAAGAGTCTGATTCTAAAAAAGAAAATTTAGATCTGTTAAAAGACAGAAAATACAGTGGTCAGTAAATGTCTTTAAATGATCGTGGAAGTATTTAATAATGAGTGGCCGTATGTAGAGGGTGTGGTGAGGTTGATTGATAGCTGAAGATTGGTCAAGATTTAAATTGTCAACTGAGATTGGAAGGGGCGCGGCTCGGAGGGCCGAAAAGGAACTGGTTGAGAGTGAAGTGGCCTAGGGGGAATTGAGTGGGGACTGGGGTGTCCCCCCTTCCTCTACTACCTCTCCCCTCTCTTCTATCCTCTTTCTTCCCGCTTTCTCTTCACCCCATCCTTGACTAGAAAGCCTGTTCACAGCATGTAGTTACTATTTGTTTACGACATCTCCCCGCCTCTCCCCCCCCCCCTCTTGTATCCTCTCTCTTCTATCCTCTTTCTTCCCGCTTTCACCCCATTTCGTGTAGAAAATTGCACGAACATAACAGTCACAGTTTTTTGTTACTCTTTATGCGAATTGCTGTACTAATTATTATTATTATAATTTCAACTCGTGCGGTATATTTGATTCAATAACGTCATTTACTCCAATTCTCAACCAAGACTTGGAACAAGGAAAATTAATGGCTGCCGTAAATTCTCGGAAATTAGGGTTCAAAAAACGCGACTATAAGGTTCGTAATAGATTGCTATTTGGCAAGATAGCTAGGAAAGACCTATTGTGTACGAAAATGTAAAAAAAAAAATTGATATAGAAAATTTGATCATGGGGGCACTTTAAGAAATATAACTGAAACATGCTTATGACTGGTCCATCCTGGCAGTACTCCATACATTCCTGATCATTTCCTCTAGTCGCTGTCTTACTGGGATGTTTATGTCTGTTCTCAAATTTATGGTTGAGACGTTTGTGCTTCGGAAATATCAATTTCAGTTATTTCGGATACGCAGTAGCTTTTTTCTGATATCTAATGTTCATGCTGCCGGTATGTCGGCTATACCGCTGAGTTGCCTCAACTTGGAATGGTCACGCAATCCTGTTACTATTTGAGTGTGGAACATTTGTTTGTGAATTTCACAGAAAACCTTCACACCTGATCCTCCATAAAAAGTCATAAAAGCCTTTTTGACCAGCTATAACCGTCTGAAAAAATGCATTTTATTGAAAACTAACTGATAACTCTGCCGCTCTACTTGTGCAACACACTTGTGCTGGGAACTTGAAAGTTGAAACTTTGTACCACGTGCCGCGAAATCCATTGGTTCCGATTCCACTCTTCTCGTATTTGACCAATTTGAAAGTTGAACGTTGAAAATCACTGACAAAGAGATAGATCAGGAAGGAAACCCACTGAACTTCGCTGAAATGTTCCCGACTCGTTAATACTTGATGGAGAGCTAGTGTTTTCCTTGACCGTTCTCAGTGATCCGCCATTTTGGATGGGCGTTAGCCTCAGGCACATCAGGCTGTACTCTTGACCTAACAATATTTCACCTTTTTATTACGTTATTTGCTGTTTCTGCCTGGCAGAACTAAATTATATCAGATTGTATCAACATTTTGTCTGGTTTTTCTCATCTTTTTTTGGAAATTCTAAAATCTGAACGAGTTTAACGGAAGGTTAATCAAGCCGGTCCTTTCGATGAAATTCGTCCAATGACTTTATGTAATAAACTGAGTACTTACGGTTTGAGCCGTCAGGTGTCCTTTTTTTTTGTCGTCTTTATCTCTCTGTCTTTAAATTCTCTACCTCTAAGCCTCTACCATGTCATTTCATGTCGTTTTAATTCGGCCTCTTATTTCTGATGCACTACACATCGAAGTAACTGATGTTGGTTTGCGTAACGTTATAAAAGGAAACATGCGCCAGCTCAAATACGGTGAACTTGTAAATTGATAATTAATTGGTCATGATATCCCTAACGAAACTACGCGACTAAGATCGACGGGGAGCATGTCTTATCATTCACCTCAGGCAAGTTCATTTTTCAACCTCAACACTCTTATTTCTGATAAACTGACTTAACCAAAATAAGGCGAAAAGTGTGAAATATGCTTCACCTTGAGGTAAGCTCTTACATACGCTTTCGTTATAATCATTCTTTTTTGTTGGAATTATTGATTGCTTTGTTTATATCTGTGGATTTAAAAATGCATCTATAATGTTGTGACGTGTCACAGGTTGTGATTGTTACGCAAAGCTAGTTTGTTTCGCCGGGCATTGGGAGGGGCCTCTCTCGACTCAGTCTTCTAAATGAACCCCTTTGTTTGTTTTGCAGTCAGTTTTAGCTTCACGTTGATTAATTTCCATTAAGGGCTGGTTTTACAAGCAGACCTTTCAACCTTATAAAGCAAACTTTGCGTTCGTAATTGGCCCAGCTTGGGTCATGATTTATACATGTAAACAGTTTTTGTGTGTCAGTCAATAAACTATCATAACTGACAAATCTATTATATGAAGATACGACTCATGTCGTAACGGTAATGTGTTAAAAACTTTTAAAATTCCATTTCCTTCCGTTTCTTTCCGTTTCAATTGTAGTGGTTTTATGGAAATGACTCACCCTCTGTTAACAAAACAACAACTTTTGAACCGTAAAATCATGTAATAACCTTTTATGTTAATGAGTGTTGATTTATCGAGTGTTTCCCTTTTAGATCATTCTTAATTGCATCTGGTCCAAATACTGGTAAAGTCCATTGCGTCTTTAAAATGATAATGCATAAAAAAACCATTATTTTCAATAAACGAACGCAACTTGAACAACGTCGAATTAAATTTCTAACTAACTTCGAAGTTCAGTCGATTCGATGCCCTGTCACCTTGTTACTGTTGTCCGATCCGATGACTAATCGTCAATTAATTTTGTCCAAACCTAGCTTAGTGGAATCATATACCAGCCTTTCTTGAAATAAAACTGTGGAATCATTAGTTTGTAGAATGATCTCCCTTGAATCCCTGCTCTTTGCGCTTCCATCATAAATTATATCCCGCGTAAAAAAGTTGCATAATTATCTTGTTTCCATAATTGACAAACTTCTGAACAATAGGCCAATAATAGGCCTATAAGAACAATGAATCTCATTTTGAATTTTTGCGCATCGCTGAGTCTTGCTCCATGTAGTTTTCAACAAAATTACAACCAACAGTTTTGTCAACATTAAAGATTCCTATACCAGTTAACGATCAAGTCTTGAATACTTTCCATTTAAATACTATGGAATACCATATTTTCGGTTAATACGCGTTTTATAGACCGATGACCACCTAATTTCTCCTAAAAATATCGATAATTTGTCAAGCATGCAGGTGATGAGAACTGAAGTAAATCGTCAACCAAGAACAGAAAACTAACATAAAAAGACGTCTCTGTGGCAATCAGACAACGGAGTTAATATTTTGAGTTGGAGTGAAAAAAGCGTGGCGGAGTCATTTTCCAGAGAGACTAAATTTTAGCAAACGTCCCATAAAAAGGTATCAAAATTAACGTAAGGGTTTCATATGTTTGTAATGCGACAATGGGAAAATCAAAACAAGCCGCTAATAGTTCAGCTCAGAATTTTTTTCAGTAAACGTTTTGATGGTTTTAAACAGTACTAAATGAACGTATTATAAACAAAAATAAAATCTTGGACGTGAGTAACAACACAATGTATATCAAACAACGGGAAAAGTTAATTCATGCAGTCTTTGCTTGGCCGCCAAAATTAGCGGGAAACAAGAACGGTTTAAAAGTTTTGCAAAAATTGTCGACATCTATCTAAACAGAACAAAATATCTCGAACTTTTATCCAGGAGAATTTTCTTCGAATCAATATCAGCGGGAGCAAAGATTAAGAAAACTGAAACTCTTTTAAGTGGAAAAGAAAAAATACTAAGCAACGGCTCAAAATTACGAGCCAATGATTATTCAGGGACTAAACTTAACCCTTGCTGCGAAGGTCAACAAAAATACTGAATAAAATCTAGCTATCTAGCAAAAATTCAAGTTGCGTCTTTGCCTCCTTGAAGTAGCTTTTATAAATTAGCGAATTATAGGATGAGAAGACAAACTGAGTGAAGATTAATGCAGAGCACACTGATTTGATGATTTGACATTTTTGCACCTAGCAAACAATGGGCTTACCTCAGAGTAAAATAAGTTGAGATGTTAGTTTCTTCCGAGTTTGCAAAATGCAAAGCAGTAAAACTAACCCAACGGAAAGAAAAAAAATTCCGCACCACTCTAAGAACAAGTGTTTTCTCTACTGAGCTTCGCGCCTTCTGACTCCAACGAATTATGATCAGGTTGGTATCAATGAAAGGGCTCCATGTAAGCTGTGTTTATTGATCCAAAGAATTAAAGTCAGTCATGCGAACGGAAACATACATACATATATACAAAAGTGCTTCGAACGTTCTCGAGCTTCTTTCGGACTATGATTTTCTGATGTAAGTTTAGTTGAGATAACAAGTCGGGTTTAACATTCCCAAAGTGATTATAACTGAGAAAAGCATAAGAATTCAAGTGGCAGCATTTGTTTAGTGTATATTCCGAACTCTCTTTTTGGCGGACTCAGCTGGTGTGAAACATGTTTATTGTCTGAAATTCAGTTGTCTCAAACAAAGAGGTTGGTTTATTATAGATTGTAGATTATAATAAGTTGAAAAGTCCATCCGAGTACAAGAAACTTGTTAACAAAAATTCTAGAAATGCAGCCGAAAAATCTTGCGGTTATTTTGATAGGAGAGTCATCGATATTGGAAAATTGTTTGAATTCGAAATAGCTGAGACGGGAAAACAAGAATGAATTCAATTTATTCGCTCCTGTTTGCACGCATGACTAGACATGCAACTGTTTTTTTTAAAAAAAAAGAAAAGGAAGGGAGTGCAACAGCACAATGCAAATAATGCCTTATTGTTTTGAAAACAGAACATTCAAATTTGAAATTCAATGGTGTGCCTGTAAACTGCGAACATGGCGCGCGCGCCAAATTCTCCATGTGCATATAATTTTCCGCAGGAGCCATAATCGGGGACGGAGACCGTAAGCCTTGGGATCCGCGCGCACCTGTGATATGGGACAATTTTTCTATTTTTAGAACAAATTGCGCCATCCT